AAAGAGACAAAGAAAATTCTCTTTGACCAGGGTAAAAAAATATTACAAGTGGTAAAACAAACAGAAAAACAAAAATGTACCGACAACGTTTCGCTTTCGCTCTCTCACTGTGCACGCGTTTACGCGTCTTTTACGTAAGATATCATTATTTCTAACGCAAATGCGTTCAACTATTTCAAGAGGTCCCATGAAGAAAACGAAAGTGCTACCACAAAGGTCGTAAACGTAATCCAGCCGGTAAAACCCTACTCTCTCTTTAACGCTTTAACAAAATCGCCAAAGCGGAGAGCAGCGGACCGAGATCTTTTCGAAGAGTTAATTGCAATGGGGTGACGATGGATCCTACTCTCCACAATTTCCACAAAATTTCGCTCCATCGCAATTTCCCCAGATGTTTCCAGCATACCTACTTACAACTCTCAACCGACACAAACGTCTTTATCATCAACAAAACAATTCAAATAACGACAACCTTCCTAAACAACAATTGTCTCTAAAATAACCAAATCATATCCTCTTTCTATCTTTCACATCCATCCTGGTATCTATTTGAGATCATACAATTGCATCCCTTCTCATTCTCTAGATATATATATATATATATATATATATATATATATATATCCCTTAGGTTTTTTAAGACTTTTGTCGAAAATTATTAATTTTAGTAAAAGGGTAGTTATAATCCTGGACTAATATGCATGGTGAGTTATTTTTTTTAGAAAATACTTTTGATAAGATTTTCGATGATCTCTCACTTAATTTAACAAGAACAATGTGGTTTATGCAAGACGAGCATCACCTTATCATCATTATCTAGTAAGGGCTAGAAATCATTTTAATCGAACATTTCCTGAACGCAAAATTGACAGAGAAGGTAACTTTTCCTGGTTATCAAGAAGTCCTGATTATAACATAATGGATTTCTATTTTTGGGAACATATGAAATCTTTCGTTTATACCATCAAATCGCTTCACAAATCACGAGAAATTTAAGATGCGGCTAATTTTATTAAGGGACAGAATAATATTTTACTAATGTTAGAAAGTGCTTCATCGGGAGTATTAGGAAAAGCATAAAAATGAGAAGGGGTCACATAGAACCTATTTGTTTATTATTCCGAGTTAGAAGTTTTCATTGCTTCTTATTTGAAATCCTTTCCGAATTTGAAATGTTCAACTGTGTTTTTTCGGAATACGATTGAAATTATCAAGTTGAAAAATGTACAAAAATTTTACATAAGAATGATTTTTATGTTATGTTTTATAATCAAAATTATCAATAAGTTTCATAAAAAAAAAGTAGGACCTGTTTCATTCTCAAGAATCGCTGGTCATGTGGGGCCCTCGGTAACAAAATATAAAATAATAATTGGGATAATATCTTTTACTTATACATCTGTGCCAATTTTGATAACGATTTATAAAAATGTGAAATTATTGCCAAAGAACAAAATTTAAAGTGTCACTTTTAACACCCTGTGTTTTCCACATGAACATTTTATTGAGGCATGCTTGATACAATTTTCATACTTTGGTGCAGTTAACTTGCACTTCCTCTATGTTCCAATAGTTATGATTTTTCATTTGTTTCATTTTTTTATATAAAATGGGATCAAAAGGGTATCTACTAGCAAGCTTTCTTTTACTGCAATGACAAAAAAGTAATATCTCATCCATTATTTTAATTCTTATCTATTTATAATACTCGTGAATTACTCAAAAAATTGAGAAACAAACAGAAAAGTAAGACAAGTGGATATCGACCTTGAACCTCCAGGTCTAGTACAAATTACTGGACAAGAACTTAATGTTCTTTAGTATTTTCAGTTAGAATTCTAATTTGACAAAATTTTGTTGGTTTCTTGTTTGTCAGAATGGTTGTTTCATATTTTTTATTTACTGATCTCTCAATACATCAAAAAAATTTTAAAAATGTCCCTTTGGCCATTCATCGAACTGACGGCTTCAAGACAGGACAAAGCCCTTTGAGTTTGTTAAACTCGTAGGGAGTGAAGTATTTCTTTTGAACAAATTTCCTTTGTGAACACAGTGGAAGAAGAAAAATATAAATTACAAACTTGTTGACAGAAGGTAAAGCACAGTAAAAGGGCGATTTGGTTTACATAAATTTAAAGTTGTTTAATGTGATGCACATGAAAGAATAAACGGTCGGATAAACGATTTAATTAAACTGCACCTCATTACTTGCATTACTCATAACGTATAGGTACTTGGTTCTTGCACCTATATGCGCTTATAACCACGTTCATATTATGGTATTATATTTTACGTCAGAATTGCTTTGTTAATTCTATTTGTAGGGAAAATGGATGAGAAAATGTTTAAAACAATTCAATGAATAGATCGGTGCAATGAAACTGTCCTTTGAGTATGAAAATATGCGACAACAAAGTTTTATAACTTATAACACTACTCACGCCTTTGGAACATGTAGTGTAACAATTAATTCTGTCTTCCGGTACTGTTCCAAGTTCTTTGCTTAAGGCCCTATCGATTAAATTAACAATATAACTCTTGGAGCGGTGCAATTCCATGGAATAGCTTTCGTTAGCGTTGAGCTTTGTATTATGACTTAACGGAATAGTTTGTTGGGTAACGATACTCGGTGGATTAACTCTAAGACGAGGAGAGGAAGGAACTTGAATTTCCTTATTTATACAGTTTGTACCCGGTTCTCCCATTTGAAAAACAACGGATGTTTTCTTTATGCTGTTTTGCATTTCTTGATAGTTAATACTTTTTGGTATCTGCAACAATATGAAAAAGGTTATTGTAGTACCTTATTTGTTTGAGATAGATACAAAATATGGTCAAGATGAATTTTAAGTCATAATACAACTAGTTTGCTTCCCACAGAAGTCTAACTATTGCTATTTGATCGAAATTGAAGAAGCCTTTAGTTTTTTTTTACATGAGATTGGATAATTTATACTATTATTGTCAAAATCTTAGTTCTGTGTGGGTGTGAAACGTACACGTTGGGCGAAAAAGTAAAAACATCAAGCGTTTGATATGTGGTATTAAAGGAGGATGCTAAAAATATAATGGATAGAAATGGTTAAAAGGTATTAGAAAGAGTCAATGAGAAATAAACGAGATAGGTTGGTAGGACACTTTTTCAGACTTGAAGAACTAGTCGAAGTTATATAAAAAGCAGAAATGGGAGTTAAATGGGGTAGAGGTAGGCCTAGATTAGATTACCGTTGTTGTTGTAGTTTCTGAGAAATGCGAAAATTAGCTCAAAATAGGAAGAAGTGAAGAGGCGAGCTGAATATCTGATGGTTATGATTAATCGATGATATAATACTAATTGTTCATGCCAGACGATAAGAAATATGAACAGATATTTGAATGGAAATTCTAACTGATAAATAAGTACAAAAGCAGATTAAAGGTAAGCATCAATTGAAAAATTCGTACGTTTGAAAGGCGGTATAATTTTTTTTTTTATTTTGCCACTGAGGAAGGTTACGAGTAAGGCTTACCCAGGTGTGATTATTTTTACCTACCTTACAAAACTGAAAGCACGTTCACAAAAGGAACAACTTTCTTTGAACAATTTTTTTTTGTTTTTTTTTTTCAATGTGTGTAGTAAACGACAATTTTGAAGGGTTTCTAGGGCATAATGTGATATATATATTTGTATATTTTTCGTGTAAATAATTATAGTTCTGTTACTAGTATGAAAAAAATAAAGACTGTTTTAGATGGTACTTATATTTACATATNCTATTCATGATTGAACAAAACTTTTGGCAGGTACTGTATGAAAAAGTATGTTCAATGAACAAGAGTCGAGAGTATAATGAGCTTTTTTCTGCCTACCTACGATTTTTCCAGCGCGCATCCTAGACATTGGAAGTGGCACATCGCTAGAGAAAGTAAATGAAGTACACACTACACTCCAATAATGTATTATATAAGTCGCGCGTCTGCAGCTGCTCGGCTGCAGTCATTACAATGCTTGATTGACACTGCACCTTGCTACTGAGCCACCGAAGCTTCTTGCTTCTTCTCTAACTTAAAGTGTTTTCCAGTGGTATTGATTATAAACTAATTTAAATGAACTTTTACCTGCCTTAACGACAACATACACAAGTAATATTCATTTTAATAAAATAATATTAATATACATATGTGTAGCACAATGTCTTTTATATGGCATAATTAATTTTTATTTCCCTTCTTTTACAATCCGTGCTAGAAAAACGTACGATAAGTTTAGACATTGACGTAGTTATTTATAAGTTAGTAAATACCTATTGTAGATATTTATAAAGGTTAGCTACAATCGGTGCTAATAATTTGCGCCAAAAAGGTCTCTGGTTGGGCATATTTAGAGCTTGTTTATCCATTGTAATATGAGGTAGTACGAAAGATAAAATAGGTACGCGCAGCAGTAGTTATGTATGTATGCCTACGAATAATTGGTTTGCCCGCAATTTCTCAATAATATTGTATGTCACTATTTGACACTGTACAAAAGCATTACAACGTTATATGGGGTTAATTGTGCATTTTAAACAAAGCGAGGATTGCGAATGGATCTTGTTGGGATTCCGTATAAAACACGAGAATGCCTTTCATCATAATAATTACATTAAGTAAAAATGTGTTTTTCAACAGCATCTGCTATAGAAGGGAGATCATTATGTAACCATAGGAGGGCATATAAATTCTTCACGGATTCTGTCTCTCCAAAATGTCATTTTCCTGCATTCCCATGTTCCTCTTATGAAGACTTTTTAGCTGGAAAATGCTTCCCATGTACGGAAGAAAGGTATACTAGGCTTAACTCACTATGATAACATACTACACAAAGCACTTTTCAGGAATTGTGGTAACATGGGTTATTATGCCGATAGAGCAATTGGTCGCGGACAGTTGTATCTGGTCACTAGAGATGAAGAGCCCTTTTGTGGTAAAATTTGTAATTAATTAACCGTAATAAGCGTTTATCTCGAAAATAACCTGTTTCAGCTCACCAGTATCTTTTACGAATTGACACAACCAAAACACCACTGCCAATAATAAACTATGGTAAAATACAGATTACCTTGGTTGGAGAGGCGTCAATAAACGAAACGTTTCTTATGACAAAGTAAGTTATTCTGTATAAAATACCTACCAGTAAAATTCATAAAATACTGATTGTAATTTTAGAAAAGACGATGAAGAAATGGTCGCAGGAGAACCTTTGTCGCGGATTATAGTTCCCCATCCCATCCTTTCAGAATTTGTTAAGGTAGAAGTACTTTATGTTGCTTACAGCGGTTGGCTATCTTCAGGGTTAAGTCAATGGAAAATAGACAGGATAGTTTTAAGTGACAGCGTAGGTTTAAGGTAAATATTAAAAAAAAAACACTTTGTTAACTTTGAAATCTACTAAGAATGTAATTTTTAATTTTTAGTTTGTCGGTGTGCAAAAAAGGCTTGACTTTAGAAAGTGGCGTTCCGGTACTCCTTCCGCTATTTCCTGGGGAATGCAATGAACCAAATTCTAAAGAAAACGAAAAGTACGAAACAATGAATGATCGTGTGTACGACGTTAAAGAAAGTGACGAAACTCAGAAACCTAAGTTCGTACCCACACCTGTAGTCAGAATAGGAAATGAAGCAGTTAAAGATGTGGGTCGAAAAGTGTCATTTAGAGATGCAATGGAAATATTTAATTTACCGTTTCTTGATAATCCTCAAAAAGACAATCATTTAGAGACGGAACGTGAAAGTAGCAGAGCTTTAAATACGCGAATAGTGAAATTACCTGTCGCATCTTCTAATTCTACTGAGGATAATCAGGTCACCGAAATAGTTAGAGAAATTGTAGAGCCCATATTGAAACCACATTCAAACAAAATCGGCAGATCTCATAATATAGGAAAGGATAAAGTAGAAATAACGGAACCAATTCTCAATCCTTCTAAAAAAGTTCAATCCACCACAGAATCCGAATCGTTTATACAAAAACTGACAAATCCTGGGAAGAAGAAAGAGGTCGCGTATGACTTTTATGAAGAAGAATCCACAAGTACTTGGTCCCCAACATATGGCCAAAAAAGAGATGAGAAATGGAAAAGACACGATTCTCCTCCAAATGAGAAAAAGAAGCAGGAACCAAATGGCTTGAATATTATTTCAATGACAGTACAAATTTTACCTCAGAGACTCGCGAGAATGTTTGAGCAAGCGGAAAAATACGCACGGGAAACACTATTCCCACTGATTAGTACAAATGCACCGAAAATCATTCGAAATTTCATATCTCCAGCGGAATCAGCTACGAAATACGTTCCATTTATAAGAAACGAAAAACCAGAGATTCTTAGGTCCAAAAGTGAAAGGGAAGCAAAATTTGAAGTTTACAAAGATAGTGGTAAAAATTCGTTGACTACGAGGCTTCTTCCAGTATTAAGGAAACATACAACTACAACTACCACTACAACCACTACCACTACCACTACCAGCACATCGGCCCCTACCACTACCACCAGCTCTACAACCACATTGCCATCAACAACGTCTACCACAACGACAATTGCTACCACCAAGACTGTTCCCACGACAAGCACTACTACTACTAGCAAGTATACAACACCTCTGCCGGAACGTACTACTACCCCATACTCTCATATTCAAAAAATTTCTAAAAAGAGTCAAACTTCGGTCACCTTTAAGCGTGGTACTGTGGGAGATTTACCAGTAAACGAATGGGATAAGAAAGCCATACCCCCTATTTTTATAGATTTGCCTGTGTACGAAGAGAAACCTGGTGTTAAGTACATACCTTTAGTTTATGAAGATAATACAAACGACAAAGGCGTCTAGCATCAAAAACCCAATCATCTCTAACAACAAAGTGACTGATCTAAGCATCAACGACTGTTATAAGGATATATTTTTCATGTTTTGAAAAACAATATTGTTGAATTTTTAATTTATTTTTAAACACCATCAATGTGTTTATTTTATTTTTTGTAAATAAATGCAATTTTTATAAAATATTTATCTTTCGTAATAAATTCTACTTTAGATTACGTATAAGTTCAGGATAATTTATTCGTAATTACAACAGGAATCCAAAAATCTTTCCAAGTCAGCTAAACGTTTCACTTCTGTTTGAATATGTTTCAAATGGCCCCATCTTAATTGCTTGAGTTGTTTAATATAATTAGGTTCTTCTCCTGGAAAATTGAGAACAATTTAGATCCTTGGGGTACAATTAATAAAATAGTTCTTGTCTTATTTTAGCATTATGTCAATTAACAACAGATTAAAATTATAATTATTATCACAAATTTAAATAATTAAACTGATTTAGATATTAACATTTTTGACAAATATTTGAATGCTGACAACATAACTTGAAATGACCAAAGCGTGGAGGTGCTTTTGAGATAATAACTCTCTGCTGACTGTCAAATAAAAACAATGAAATGGCTAAAAACACTACACACAGGAGCGATAATTGAATCCGAAGAATAGAAAACGCGTTTGTACACTTGTACACTGCGTGATGAGCGACTGCGCATCAATTTTGGTTATTTTCAGTGATCAGAATGAATGGGTACTTCTGAAATAAATAACAACCTTACAGGAGGTGATAGCGCCGTATAAATTAAGTAAATATTTAAAGGTCCTAAAGTTCATAGTTTTCGAGAAAAGTGCAGTTGAGGGGTGATTTAAATAATGCTGCATGCTATCAACAATCAACAAATCTTGTTTATTCATTTATACCGTGGTAAGTATCTAAACATTATGTGTAGTAGAGTAGCAGTAGTTTGGTATTAATCTTTACTTTAGCCTATCGACAAGCGGTATTGTTTACGTTCTCCATCGTTATAACTTTTACCTCAACTCGGTATATACATAGGTACAGACCCACGTTGCCAATTCATGTCCAGAACCGGGTTCAGATTGTAACTTGTTGTGTTTTTTTGTAATTAGCTCTGTTTCTTAATTACGCTGCTGTACTCATCATGCGATCCCTTATTGCATCTAGTTGACAACCTCCAAATCTTAATTATTTCAGAAATATGCTGTATAAACAAAATCTCCTTGCCTACTCGGTAAATCGGATGCGCATTGCTTCACTGCGCAGCGTACGAATGAGCATAACTTGATGTTACAACACGCGCTGTTTCAGCAAGTAGATATCCATATATTTAAATGGACCTTGTTGGAGCATACGTAATCCTAAAATGTAGTATCGTACTACAGATGGCGTTTACCGCGCCATTTGTGGTATTTTCTGAAACGCACTGTACCAAGAAGACTAGACATATTGTAGGAGTAATAATAACATGTCTTACATAATGTACAAATCTAGCCGGCAGGGCGTCACTGAGTTATATTCGTTCGTACGCACCTGATTTGCCGCGTAGGCAAAGCTGTTTTGATTACGTTTTGTGTTTGACGAGTGAGAATTAATGCGGACGAATGACTTTCCTACCCTGTATTACTGACGATGTTTTTTAGTTATAACGTCCGTATCTGCTCTCTTTGCGCCGTAAATTAAACTGTTACTACTATGTATAGTCTTCACAGACATGACCACTTTGGTTTTTGTTGTCTTCTTCTACTGTTACCTTACGATCCTAACCACATCCGTCGAAAAGATTATGTTGGCAGCACTGCGACGGTTTTTAATTTTGTGGAGTGAACATCAAAGATGATGTCGTAAACTGCACATTCACAACTTTTTTATATTTCACTAACAATATATAGGTAAATGTTCCAGAATAGAATTGAAATTTTAAAGAATATGTCTGTATGTGTATACAATTTTGACTTACCATGTGAACCGGAACAAGGACACATGCAATCTTCTTTTATTTCCAAAGTGTGGGCAACCTCATTTGTTGTGTGCGATTCGCTGAAAGCGTTACTCAGGTCTAATGAAAAGTCTTTAGGTTCCGTTTTCTTTGAGTGTTTTTCAATTACTTCCATTAAACTTTTGGGGTCATTGTTACATAGCTGAAGTTAATATTCTTAATAAAAATTAAAAAGTACTTCTATTGGCGAAGGCGATATNTATATATATATATATCCCTTAGGTTTTTTAAGACTTTTGTCGAAAATTATTAATTTTAGTAAAAGGGTAGTTATAATCCTGGACTAATATGCATGGTGAGTTATTTTTTTTAGAAAATACTTTTGATAAGATTTTCGATGATCTCTCACTTAATTTAACAAGAACAATGTGGTTTATGCAAGACGAGCATCACCTTATCATCATTATCTAGTAAGGGCTAGAAATCATTTTAATCGAACATTTCCTGAACGCAAAATTGACAGAGAAGGTAACTTTTCCTGGTTATCAAGAAGTCCTGATTATAACATAATGGATTTCTATTTTTGGGAACATATGAAATCTTTCGTTTATACCATCAAATCGCTTCACAAATCACGAGAAATTTAAGATGCGGCTAATTTTATTAAGGGACAGAATAATATTTTACTAATGTTAGAAAGTGCTTCATCGGGAGTATTAGGAAAAGCATAAAAATGAGAAGGGGTCACATAGAACCTATTTGTTTATTATTCCGAGTTAGAAGTTTTCATTGCTTCTTATTTGAAATCCTTTCCGAATTTGAAATGTTCAACTGTGTTTTTTCGGAATACGATTGAAATTATCAAGTTGAAAAATGTACAAAAATTTTACATAAGAATGATTTTTATGTTATGTTTTATAATCAAAATTATCAATAAGTTTCATAAAAAAAAAGTAGGACCTGTTTCATTCTCAAGAATCGCTGGTCATGTGGGGCCCTCGGTAACAAAATATAAAATAATAATTGGGATAATATCTTTTACTTATACATCTGTGCCAATTTTGATAACGATTTATAAAAATGTGAAATTATTGCCAAAGAACAAAATTTAAAGTGTCACTTTTAACACCCTGTGTTTTCCACATGAACATTTTATTGAGGCATGCTTGATACAATTTTCATACTTTGGTGCAGTTAACTTGCACTTCCTCTATGTTCCAATAGTTATGATTTTTCATTTGTTTCATTTTTTTATATAAAATGGGATCAAAAGGGTATCTACTAGCAAGCTTTCTTTTACTGCAATGACAAAAAAGTAATATCTCATCCATTATTTTAATTCTTATCTATTTATAATACTCGTGAATTACTCAAAAAATTGAGAAACAAACAGAAAAGTAAGACAAGTGGATATCGACCTTGAACCTCCAGGTCTAGTACAAATTACTGGACAAGAACTTAATGTTCTTTAGTATTTTCAGTTAGAATTCTAATTTGACAAAATTTTGTTGGTTTCTTGTTTGTCAGAATGGTTGTTTCATATTTTTTATTTACTGATCTCTCAATACATCAAAAAAATTTTAAAAATGTCCCTTTGGCCATTCATCGAACTGACGGCTTCAAGACAGGACAAAGCCCTTTGAGTTTGTTAAACTCGTAGGGAGTGAAGTATTTCTTTTGAACAAATTTCCTTTGTGAACACAGTGGAAGAAGAAAAATATAAATTACAAACTTGTTGACAGAAGGTAAAGCACAGTAAAAGGGCGATTTGGTTTACATAAATTTAAAGTTGTTTAATGTGATGCACATGAAAGAATAAACGGTCGGATAAACGATTTAATTAAACTGCACCTCATTACTTGCATTACTCATAACGTATAGGTACTTGGTTCTTGCACCTATATGCGCTTATAACCACGTTCATATTATGGTATTATATTTTACGTCAGAATTGCTTTGTTAATTCTATTTGTAGGGAAAATGGATGAGAAAATGTTTAAAACAATTCAATGAATAGATCGGTGCAATGAAACTGTCCTTTGAGTATGAAAATATGCGACAACAAAGTTTTATAACTTATAACACTACTCACGCCTTTGGAACATGTAGTGTAACAATTAATTCTGTCTTCCGGTACTGTTCCAAGTTCTTTGCTTAAGGCCCTATCGATTAAATTAACAATATAACTCTTGGAGCGGTGCAATTCCATGGAATAGCTTTCGTTAGCGTTGAGCTTTGTATTATGACTTAACGGAATAGTTTGTTGGGTAACGATACTCGGTGGATTAACTCTAAGACGAGGAGAGGAAGGAACTTGAATTTCCTTATTTATACAGTTTGTACCCGGTTCTCCCATTTGAAAAACAACGGATGTTTTCTTTATGCTGTTTTGCATTTCTTGATAGTTAATACTTTTTGGTATCTGCAACAATATGAAAAAGGTTATTGTAGTACCTTATTTGTTTGAGATAGATACAAAATATGGTCAAGATGAATTTTAAGTCATAATACAACTAGTTTGCTTCCCACAGAAGTCTAACTATTGCTATTTGATCGAAATTGAAGAAGCCTTTAGTTTTTTTTTACATGAGATTGGATAATTTATACTATTATTGTCAAAATCTTAGTTCTGTGTGGGTGTGAAACGTACACGTTGGGCGAAAAAGTAAAAACATCAAGCGTTTGATATGTGGTATTAAAGGAGGATGCTAAAAATATAATGGATAGAAATGGTTAAAAGGTATTAGAAAGAGTCAATGAGAAATAAACGAGATAGGTTGGTAGGACACTTTTTCAGACTTGAAGAACTAGTCGAAGTTATATAAAAAGCAGAAATGGGAGTTAAATGGGGTAGAGGTAGGCCTAGATTAGATTACCGTTGTTGTTGTAGTTTCTGAGAAATGCGAAAATTAGCTCAAAATAGGAAGAAGTGAAGAGGCGAGCTGAATATCTGATGGTTATGATTAATCGATGATATAATACTAATTGTTCATGCCAGACGATAAGAAATATGAACAGATATTTGAATGGAAATTCTAACTGATAAATAAGTACAAAAGCAGATTAAAGGTAAGCATCAATTGAAAAATTCGTACGTTTGAAAGGCGGTATAATTTTTTTTTTTATTTTGCCACTGAGGAAGGTTACGAGTAAGGCTTACCCAGGTGTGATTATTTTTACCTACCTTACAAAACTGAAAGCACGTTCACAAAAGGAACAACTTTCTTTGAACAATTTTTTTTTGTTTTTTTTTTTCAATGTGTGTAGTAAACGACAATTTTGAAGGGTTTCTAGGGCATAATGTGATATATATATTTGTATATTTTTCGTGTAAATAATTATAGTTCTGTTACTAGTATGAAAAAAATAAAGACTGTTTTAGATGGTACTTATATTTACATATATGTTCCGTGACATTCAGAAACTATTTATGACCTACTTGTCATTGAAATATTAAGGATAATTAAGAAAACTTTCTAAAATAAAATGAAAGGCAAACAAGTATGAACAATACAACAGTATTAAGTTAAAAAGTGATGCGGCAAGTATGAATTTATTTAGTCATGCACGGAAGATACCTTAGATTCGTCATCGGTAACACTATCACCAATAATTCCAGGATTAAACTTCTTACTCTCTTCATCCATTTTCCTAGCCATAGCTAGGGTACTATCTGTTTCAGTTTTAAATGAACTTTCTGGAATTTTATTGACACATCCCTTTTGCATGAGTTCTTGCAACATTGTTTGAAGAACAGTTGGTGTCGGATCATTTTTTTGCGTAGAGGATAATGAACTGCTTATTGCGCGTGGCGATTGTTTTTGGCTTACTTGAACTCGCTCAGGGTTATTTTTTTCTTGTTCAGTTTCCCCACTATCCTAATTTGTTAAATTTATTAGGTAAAGCAAATTTTGTACTTATAATTTCCAAACTTAAATAAATTTGTAATTTCTTTTACCTGAGATTTATTGGAACTCGATAGCATATTCATATGTTCATTATTTCCTTTAGTAAGTGTTTCAAATGTTTTTATTTTTTGATTGGTTTCCATCCCGTGAACTATCTCTTCATAGCGTTTTAAAGCGGATTCTATCCTGTTACTTCTTACGGAAGCATTATCTTGTGATGGAGCAGTGAGGGGACGTGTAATTCTCTCACCTTTATTAACGGGAAAACTATGATGTCTTTCTAATGATACTTTGTTCTTAGTATGGGGTGATAACTGTTCACCCTTTATTTCTTTTTCGCAGTCCTTACGTCCATCAGCATTACTCTGATTTATTGTCTGGGTGCAATCATTTGAGGGCACTTTACAAGTAGTTGCTGATGAAGTTTTCTTGAAGAAACTGAACAATATGCATTTTAGAATTTACTGAATCAATTAATAAATTTGATAAGAAAGGGAAAAAAGTATGCTTCTAGAAAGTATTTACCGTGGTGCCTTCGCAGTAACTGGATACCTTTTGGGATTTGCTTTTACCGCGTTCAAGCCAGTACCAGATGGAATTCTAGTGAGGGAATTTCTATTGCAAGGTATATGCGGTATAATTTTGTTATCCTCAGACAGAAGCTGTTCATTGCCAACAGAAACTTGTATTAAAGGATTATTATCCATTGGCGACATATAATTTGGCTGAGGGTTTGGTTGGGTTACGGAATAGAAAGACTTCTTCGACTGTAGTGGATAGAGGTGTGAAGATTTGTAGAAGCACTGACTATGTCAAAAATATAAAGAGCTATTTAATACTGTTAACTGGTGTACCTAGCAAGTAAATTCATATTTTGAAGTTGGCTCTATAGAATCACTAAATCATAGTGTTGCGCGGTAGGTTTATTTATGTATATGTTTATCACAGTTATCCATGAACAAATTAGTCAAAATTTCACTTTTCGATCAGAGATTGTAACAAACGGCAAAAGATACGATCCGATTAGATGTTGAAGAACTAAGGTTTTGTAAAATTTCATTCCATTTTATTAAGTAGTTCAAATTACATTAATGAATGGAAATTGAAAAAAGAGCGTTCTGCCTGACTAAAAGATAAAACTAACAAACGCGTCTACTTTCAATATTCAGGATGATTCCATTTAATTACAATTTTTAATTAAAACAAGATTTTGACCTATTCGAGTTAGTATTATACACTACCTCATCAGTATTCCGGAATATTTGAAAGGTAATATCTGGAAGCACTGTGGAGTGCATCACGTGATAGTGCCCCAACGTGGCGGGTGTAAAAGTATGCACAAAAATTATCCCACTTAACGAGCCGCCAATGTTTGAGAACAGTTACCAGTGTTGCAGCCGCGTTATCCTATCGCTCTTTATCATCGCATGCGTTACACCTACCCGTGACCTTCGCAACAGCTGGCCACAAATTATTAATAGTAGCCTGCACATCGTAATTACTATTCGAATGGCAAAGTTACTGCCATTACCACAAACTATAAAAATAAGCTGAGTGTGAAATACCAAGTAAAATACAATGTGTTCGCATGAAGAAGATGCGGACATGGTGGTCACATATGGACGGTGCAATGAAAATGTACTGACGGCATCACGCGAATACGCATCATAATTCCCCGAGCAGTTGGGGATTTCGGTAAGGTCATTACCCTCATGCTTGTGAATATCACTGAATGGTGCAAGATGAGTAATTGTATTTTTTCTTTATGTATTTTCTTCTACCTTAATTTCTCTGGGGTACTGATCAGACATAGTGCTTAATTGCAAAGAAGTGGACTGATCTAATAATAATAATACATCACACGCAACTGAAAACCTGCAACCAATAAAAGTAACGATACCTTTCAATAATTTGAGTCCGATGTAGAGCGCTTCCTAAGATTAGCATGCACTCTGCCTCTCTAGAGTTTATATATCAACAGTATAAACATGTAATTACAGCAATTGTCACATGCCATATAGTTTAAAGCGGCGAAAAAAGAATGCGACAACAAAATATCGCCGAAAGTACAATTACAAAAGATATAGTACCATGTCACTCATCAAGGAATGCATAATCGATTTAAAGAAAGACATACCTAGAGATACGGGACTGCGGAACCCAAAATTGTAAGGACTGGTTATTTTGCTCGAGACTGTAACAACTACAGGGGTCGTGTTGAAATTGTGGAAGAATAAGTCATCTAAGTCGAGATTGCCCCTCAAACAAAACACGATCTTCTGGAGGAGATATACAGCCGTCGAAAAACTAAAATCAGTCAACTTTATGAGCAAGTTGTCTCACCTTCAACAAGCACTCGAAGTAGTCATCATCTCAAGTCTGTATGGAACTAATTCATGTTTGTAGAAGGATCCATTAATCACCACAATGGTAGAATAGTGTTCGGCACATTGGCATCTAATATTATCGTTCAACTTGACGTAGTATCAGAATGGCGAATGCGTGGAAAAGAGATTGATCTTAATTATGGCGACGGGAGAGATTTCTCTAATGCATTGAGAATGCAACGTAAAAATTTTAATTTATTGAAAATATGATCTTCCATAGTTGGATATTAGTGGCCGATATAGTAGCTGACCTCATAATTGGATTGAACCTTCTTAGATAACATAAGATCAACTTCAATCACAGCACTTTTACAATGCGCAAATACAAATAACATGGTAACGCAGATGCATTATCTCGGAAAAAGACGGACTGACATCGACATCTTTTAAAGTAATCTCCGTTCAACCTTGGTGATCCTGGGAAAATAATGAATTAATTAAAGAGCACAGGTCGGATGGAAATATTGACCCTGGGCAGATGTGAGTCACTTAATTCAGACAGTAAACGGTTGATTGGTCTCACGATCAATGAAATTCTCTTATCTTACTAAGGCATTTAAAAGAAAAATGTGAAAGAGTCCGGATGGAACCAGAAACAATCTTCTTAAACATAATTGCTTACAATGAGACTGAATTTACCCCGAATCTACTGGCTAATAACAATTTTCCGCAAATAACTGAAACTAAGGTCACAATCACGTCTGTTTTAAAAGTCAAGTGGTCATGTCATTAGTGTTCTTAGGCAATATTGGTCTTTTTTGAAAAATTTAACTATTCACACTCTAGATCTATCTTTTGTCCTTTGTTTTTTAACATGAACAAGCAACATTTTACAAATAACAATAAATACAGGCAATTTTTTCTTGTGACAAGTAAATAAAATAAATACGTTATTATTAGTCAAATCTTACTCTATATTATCATAATCTTCTTGCATGTAATCATCCTGTGCTGACTGTTGTAGCGATTTCCTTCTATAAATTTCTTTAACATCTGAATGTGTTCGCGAAGAAACAGGCATTTGTCCGTAGCTGTTGTTATTATTAGGACGATTTCTTCGAGATACAGGTCTCGCAGTTGGTCGAGGTTGGTAACTGGCTAATGCAGAAATTGGTCGGGCAATAGCACGTGCTAATGGTTGCGTTGTAACCAAGGGTTGACGAAAGCGAAACGATTGGTCGCTCTCAGACAAGTCACTATCCTCGTATCTTTGGTAGGTGGTATACGGGTAACTAGGTGGTCTAGGCATACTCTACTGAAAAAGTTCTTGTTGAGTTATTGAACTTAGTAGTTAAAGTATACTTCGTTTACTTTTTCTAGCGATCTGACCTTTAGTTTGACCGGCGCAAAGTAGAAAAGAACAGCACAAGGCCAGAAAAGAAAGAAGACAACTCTCGACCAAACTCGTAATCTATGAGGAGCGTATAATCTGTACAGTACTGCACGGAAAAATTGACTATTTTATCCACCAAAATTGCATTACTCAAATGTGCTTTTATTGATACTAATTACTACTAAAAATATCAACGAGATGTTTATTTATATTTGAAGACATATTAAAGGCTTTAACGCTTGTTTTCGACCCGCACTACTATTCATGATTGAACAAAATTTTTGGCAGGTACTGTATGAAATGAATGTTTAATAAACAAGGGTAGAGAGAATATTGAGCTATTTTCTCCCTACTTACGATTTTGCCAGCGCGCATCCAAGACATCGGAAGGGGAACATCGCTAGAGTAAGTAAATGAAGTATATAAACCTTTAGTAGATACTGATGTTTTAAAGGCTTTTGAAAGTTTACTTCCTAACTGGGATAGTTTCAATAATAATCTTTTTAACTTGCAACACGTAATTTGTTGTCGCAAATTATCCAAATTACTAAAAATTAACAATTATTGAGAAATTCTTTGAAGAAGCAACGAATGTGAATAATCAAATAAATATCTTTTAAGATGCATATTTTATTTATGGGGCTCAGCAGGGTGGGTGTTTAATGCATCGAGTGCTACATTAACGTTTGGCCTTCCCAAAATGCAAGACCAAGGTCAAGTCCAAAACCTACCTTTATACTAGCAAGATCAATATTAAGACCAAACGATCAAAACGAAGACTAAAAGCAAGACTGAGTATGCAAGACCAATACCAAATATGCAAGATTAAACGAAAAATTATTACTTCTGGTGGATTAAAGAGTTAAAAACTATTTAAAGTAACCTTAATATATCTTTTTCCTGTTAAAAATATCTTTGTATGAAGTCTGTTCAAAAAGTATCGCGAATTTTGTGTTTTTTCAAAAATTATTTATTTATTCAGGAATATCTATTTTGTCCCCTTCAAAGTAATCCCCACCAGATATTATACACTTGTGCCGACGTTTTTTTCAATCCTCGAAGCATTTTTGTGATCTTATTCAGCTCCACCGTCGATGCCGTCTTTATCTTCTCAATCGCAGCGTAGCGTTGTCCTTTCATTGGCCTCCTCAGTTTCGGGAACAAGAAAAAGTCACAGGGGGCGAGATCTGGGGAATATGATGGCTGTGGCATTATTAATTTGACCAAAAATTCGCGCACAAGCAACGATGTGTGAACCGGAGCGTTATCATGGTGCAAAAGCCAATTTTTGTTCTTCCAAAAATTGGGGTGTTTCTAGCGTATTGCTTCACGTAAATTGCACATAACTTGCAGGTAATAATACTTATTAACCTTTATACTCTGTGGCAAGAACTCATGATGCAAGAAAACCGTAAGCACAATCTTGACATTCGACCTAACTTGGCGCCCTTTTTTCCGTTTTGACTCGTGCGGCAGCTTCCATTTGAGTGACCGTGCTTTGGTATCCACGTCATAACCATAAACCCATGATTCGCCACCGGTTATAACCCTGTGGAGTAAATTCGGGTCGTTGAGTCCAACAGTTCCTTAGTAATGTTAATGTGTTCCCACACTTAATTTTGTTTTTTACACAAAATTTGATACAGATTCTTTGATACAGTTTTTGGAATAGGCAAAAATCGAAGCCAAGCCAAAACACGTGCAAATAAATTAGCTGTTAAAAATTAACTGATCATTCAGCTTGGCCGAACTTTTCGTTATAAGTGAGAAACATGAGTACCAACATAACGCCATAAAAAGATCAAAAATCGAATATGCGTAACCCGCGGAAACTCGCTATACTTTTTGAATAGACTTCGTACACACACGATACTTACGAAAACTTTGTCTGCACGAAAAGGTCCAAAATTAACTATTTAATAAGACAGAGGAACTGATAATAATGTTAAAATTTAAATCTGTAATTTTCGCGAAACGTTGCCAAACTCAATCTTCAACTGTTTATTGCTTCATGCTACCATAATGGGAACTTTGGCGTATCAGAATTGTTATAACGTAATTAAGGTAACAAATACTTCTGCTAATGAAGTCTGAACGGTCCATTAGGCCAGGATAATTACGGTTGATATTGCCCCCGTTAGAATTAATGTAATTTGGGTTCACTTCGTGAAATACAATGTTAAAAATGTGGAATACTGATATATAGATTAAATTGCGATTTCAGAAAATTGTAGCTAAATTACTTCTGAAGGTGCCAGGTTACATTGAAAAACAGCTTTTGAGATAAAGGGCTAGTTAGAAATATATTACAAACACAAACAGGAGTAAAGAGGGGTAGAGGTGGACATAGACTGATTGTAAATAGTTAAGGAAGTGGAAAAAGATTGATATCATCGAAATTGTTTAAAAAGTTATACTTTCATAGAAGCGTTANGAACGGCATTTAATTCACTTACTCTGTTTTTCGCACGTACCCTAAAGCTACACGAATTTTTCAAAGCTGACTGTCGAACAATGAAACTTAAATTTAAACATTCTCCTATTAAATGCATAAGACGGCGATGTGCTTTAGATACATAAAATATCTTTCTAGCATCAATAACACGATCCATTATTTTCTTCTTAATTGGACTTTGTTTTGGAATAGGTGCTGTTGTTTGGAAAAAAACTTATTATTATCATAATTACTTGGTTGTTGAAAGAGAGAGGAATGGAGAAATAAATGAAATCGAACCCAGTTTTTCTTTTGTTTTTGTATTTAATATAAAGCAATTTCGATGGATTGTTTGACAAGGCTGACCTACTTATTCAGATGAATATCAATCTTGTATTTAATTTATTTTTTATTTCTAAGAGGGTTTAATTTACTGTAACTTTGCAGGCATGTTTGAGATGCGGAAATGTGAATGTTTACACAAAATGCAGATTTATTTTAAATGCTTGAAATGTTAAAATATCGGTAGTGTTACTATTACTGAATTTTAAATGTTTAGAAGAAATTTTGATAGTCTCCTTTCCTTCATTTCGTAAAATCTTTGCTTATACATAAAACTCTTAACTCCATCATAAGTTTAATTGTAGTATTTTTAAAGTGAACTAAAACAACTTGAAGGATGACTCTTTGGATTAGCTTTGAATTCATTATTTATGGACAGCTAGTAACCACTTCCGATAAAAATTTATGTATTCACTACGCTTTTATAATTTGTATGTAGCCCATGGAAGGGAGTCAGACGGGGATGCACACTGTCACCGCTACTTTTTAATCTATACATCGAAGACGCGATTAACATCATTAAAGACAGTACAACTGTTGGGATAGATATACAGGAGCAAAAGATTAGTATGCTTAGATTTGCAGATGATATAGCAGGATATAGCTACCTATTTTTCTGATTATATTTAAAAGCCCTACTTCTTTTCTCTTACTCTGTGTTTCAAATCAGTGACGCAAATGACATGTACTATCCTATTCAATACTTTTGTAAAAAATTAGGCGCCTTACAATTTTCCTCAGTATAACCAGTAAAATCACAATAATATTGAAACTGGTCTATAATATTGCAGTAGTTGGCGCTGACTTATAATTTTATAATTTTACTAGGCAGATTGATATTCCGGTTTGGTTTTGACAATAATCCTGCGGTATATGTACCTTATGTACCGAAATATAGAAAAGGAAAAGTAGGTAAATATTTCATTTTAGATCTTCATAAACTCGTCAAAAATATTTGGAAATCATTGAAAATCTGTCTTTCTGGTTAGCCAGTCATCTTGAAGGGTAATTTTTATTAAGGTGTAAATTAATAAGTAAAATTAAAAAGTAAAATTCCACATACCAGCCCAGTTTTGAACAAAAACCACTACTCAACGGTTTTGCGATTATCTATCAACCCATACGCACAATAATAGTTAACATAGTCAAAGAACATACTATATACATATAAACAGTGATAACATTGTTCATTTTGTTTTAGATAACATATTATAAGATGACATATATTTTTGTAGTTTGTTCAGTAAAGCGTATTAGTTCTCAAATGTAGAATAAAAAATTATTTTGAAGTGCATTTCATTATTACGTAAATTAGGTATAAATATTTTCTATTTGTAATTTAAAGATAACTTTTGTTCTTCTTACCTCAATATTTCTTATGTGCAGCAAAAACGGTGCTAATGCAGGTGTGGATTAAAAATGAGGTCTAATAGAGTGCCATAAGCGCTTCTTGTACAAATGTAGAACTTCAAAAATACTGAAAAAATATAAAAAAGAACCTGCACAGAACGTCAAAAGTCCATACTTCAAAAATTTTCATAAGTATCTTAGATTTCCTAAAACTGCACGTTTCAAATATTAACTAATGTTTATAACTAAAGTTTAATAATAAAGTAAAAAATAAAAGCCTATGCACAGTATCCCGATTAAAATAAAGAAGCCAATTTGGACTGTGGATGGAAGTTATAAACTAACAGATAGATAATAATATTCATATGTTTATTCAAGTTATATATCGTTAGCCTTATATTGGTAGATAAGTGAGTGTATATGTAGATGAAAAATTTTTCGGTTTTCATGGTCGAATTTCATACGTTTCATTTTCTGCTGTGGTAGACACCATCTGAAACACAGTCGAAGTCTTCTTGGCGAAGGCTTAGCTATGAGTAAACATATATTTAAAAACTAATTTTGGGTGTTTAATTCCCACCTCCTAATGCTGATAGGAAGACAGTCCCTCCAACTATTACCATGGTACAAATTTGGAGCGGAAAACTTTTTAATGAGGCTGATTGTGGTAATGGGTTGATATTCATCATCGTAAGTCCCATAGGTCATAACTGGTTGGATACGCACCTCCACTCTTTCCTATCCTGAGCTAATCTTCGCATTTCCCTAAAACTAGAACATCCTACATCTTTAA